ATTTGTAGTAATGGTGAAATGATTCATAAACTTGAGTGTGCTTACTATATTTCTCATCTCCTTTGCAATAGAGCAGCTCTTTTAATGATAAATCTGTTGAAAATTTCCCCCTGTGTAACTGCATTTCAAAGAACTTAAGATACCTTTTTCTATACCTGGAATATAATGTTAATTTACCAACATGACTGAATTCTACTCAAAAAGTATCAAGCAAGTACAGAGGCCAAACAGATTTTAGTGAAGACAATGATTGTGTTTTGCCTGATACTTTAAGTATTTATCTTGACCTTCCTGAGACATAGGTATAGTAACCCCCAATTTTACCAATAAGGCAGCTAGACTCAGAGAAGTTAAATAACTTGCCCAAGACCACACAGCTAATGAGTGGTGGAGCCATGGTTTCAGCCCAAGCTGTTGAGATCAAAACTATTATTCTGGTCATATAGAACTATTTTCTATATGATCCGCACACAAAGCCCTCCAGGATTACCAATAATTTCCTCAGAAAACAAAGAATACATTGATACTGAGCTTTTCACTTGGGAATGAGGAAATAATCAATAATCAATTTCCCATTATTTACTCACTGGGTGCTGGCCAACGTAAACAGCCCTGTCCTATGCTCTAGGAAAAACAAAAACAAAGGCAAAAAAAAAATGTCTATAATTTCAAGAAGGTTTGTCTAATTGAGCAAAGAACTCCAAGACACTCGTAATAAAGATTATGACTTTAATTATTTGAGAGCCCAGTTCCTGAAGTTCTTAATGACATTAACAGTGAATAGGTGTGTTAGGGACTTCCAGTGCTTTGTCATCCTCAGAAAAACCCTATGTAGTGGGAACTACCATGATCACCATTTTTTTTTAAGATGGAGTCTCACTTTGTCACCCAGACTGGAGTGTAGTGGCACTATCTTGGCTCACTGCAACCTCTGCCGCCTGGGTTCAAGTGATTCTCCTGCTTCAGCCTCTGAGTAGCTGGAATTAGAGGCACCTGCCACCATGCTTTGCTAATTTGTGTATTTTTAGTAGAGACAGTGTTTTTCCATGTTGGCCAGGTTGGTCTCGAACTCCGACTTCAGGTAATCCCCCTGCCTTCATCTCCCAGAGTGCTGGGGTTGCAGATCTGAGCCACTGTGCCTGTCCTGTTACCATTTTTGAGATGAGGAAACTAGGCTGAGACAACTACATTGTAAACAAGTAAGTGGTCCCCAGTTTTTCTGGCTGCTCAGTAGCTGAGGTGGGATTTGAATTTACCAGCATTTCATTGCTAATCTTCCTTTGGCTTTATTCAAGTATACAGTTTTCTTGAGTCAATTGCAACTATTGAGTTGAACACAAAAGTATAATAACAGAGACATCTAAGTTGCCTCCCTCCTATGGACTTTGAAAGAAACAAGGCATGCAATATAGTCATGCTACAAGATAATATTTGCAGGGCACTTTACTGTGCTAGGAACTTTAAATGCAGTATTCTCACAGCAAGGCAGGAAATTGGCTATTATTACTACTCCTGTTTCCATGAGGCTTCACCTTTACTGTGAGGTTACTTGGAACACTATCCATTCAACAGATGTGACAAGTAAGTCCTCCAAGTTTCCACAATCAGAAAGTGGATCTAGTACTCACACTCCCGTTTAGGCAAAGATTTTTTTTGTTTGTTTTTTGAGATGGAGTCTCACTGTGTCACCCAGGATAAAGTGCAGTGACATGATCTTGGCTCACTGTAACCTCTGCCTCCAGGGTTCAACTAATTCTCCTGCCTCAGCCTCCCAAGTAGCTGGGATTACAGGCATCTGCCACCACATCTGGCTAATTTTTGTATTTTTTAGTAGAGATAGGGTTTCATCATGTTGGCCAGACTGGTCTTGAACTCCTGGCTTCAAGTGATCCACCTGCCTCAGCCTCCCAAAGTGCTGGTATTACAGGCGTGAGCCACCACGCTGGGCCTAGGCAGTTTTAAGCACAAAACTATACTACTGTTGCATCTACTTGAAAGGGTTTTGCATTTTCCGGTGCAGAGAAACCAGCCCTTACACTCCTACATGCTCCTCCACCCCACCCTCATTACACATGTGGACACAGGTGTGCGAACTCACACATACATGTTGCCATAGGTGATCCCTTGGTATGAGGGCTGAAGTATAATGATCCATTCCGGGACTTAGTAAGATTTCCCAGAACAAAACAGAGGGCCTGAGCCTGTCTCAGTAATGATGGCAGTTATTTATGAGGCATTTCAAGATCTCTCATTAGTAATTCCTGACAGCATCCCTGTCCAGATGAGTCACAGAGCAAAGTACTGAGTGAAGGATGAGGACAAATGAGGAAGGGTGAGTTCCTGGAAGTGGGATCAAAACTAGTCATTTTGAATTTAACTGTACTTCCCAAGGACAGGTACGTATTGAGGTCAATGAAGTTTCAATGAAAGTCTGGTTTTTCTCTGCGATTCAATCTAAAAATTACTGGGGATTTTCTCCATTGAACATGAGAAAATATATCCCCGAAATAGGAATTTTCTTTTTGGCTATCATGTAATTAATGATTGCCCGTACATTTAAACATCTATTTAGAATATATAAAGCAACATAGCACGGAACTCTTAGAAAAACCTAGCAAGTCTGAAATGATTTCCTCTTCTCCTTGTGCATACCTGCCAAAAGAGAAGGAAAAGAAAGAATAAATGGGAAAATGACTCAATGGCTGAAATAACAATACAGCCATTCACTGTGTCCAAACACCGCACCAGAAGCAAGGCACTCCGTGGCCAACAACGTAGAACTTCTGTTTAGAGCTATTCTTCTTTTTTTCTTTTTTAGACGGAGTCTCACTCTGCTGCCCAGGTTGGAGCGAAGTGTTGCAATCTCAGTTCACTGCAACCTCCAAAGTAGCTGGGAGTACAGGCATGCACCACCATGCCCAGCTAATTTTTGTATTTTTAGTAGAAACGAGGTTTCACCATGTCGGCCAGGCTGGTTTCAAGCTCCTAACCTCAGGTAATCCACCCACTTCCATCTCCCAAAGTGCTGGGATTACAGGCGTGACTCGCCGCACCAGGCCAGAGCTACTCTTTTGCAACACTGTCAGCACATAAAACATTTGCCTCACACATACTGACATGGTAGGCATTCTGGTCCCACCGACTTTCCTCTTGGTGATAATTTTCATTTAAGAAATAATTCCAATATTCTGAGACATTCCGGTTTAAGAAAAAGTGACGTAACATAGCATGATGTATAGGGGTGTATAATTTAAGGCCCAGCCTAGAATCAGAAAATATTGGGTCTGAATCCCACCTGAGCCAATTGTAAGAGTCAAGAGTCAAGAGTCAAGGGTTTTTTGTTTGTTTTTGGTATTTTTTGTTTTTCATTTTATTACATTTTATTGGCATTGGGCTGAGATAAGAACTAAATGGAAAAACTGACATAAAATGTCTAGCTCAGTGCCTGACTTATCATAAGCCCTAGAAAGATTTCATGAGAATATTATAAAACATATGTATGTACATCCAGTATGCCACATATACTATATTACATATTTTTAATGTATATTGCATATAACATATAATCTAGTGTATGCTGCTGCTGTATCATATATAGCATATAATGTATATATAAATAGGTATCATATGCATAAATTATAGTATGTATCAATGGCTATTATTTCGACTAACATAAACAGTCATTAACCCCTCCTGACAAATCAGAAATTATGGTGTTCAAACTCAAGTCGGGCTGCAAAAGATTTTTAAGAAACAAACTAGAGACTTACAAAAGAATTTACCAGGGAAGGATTTGCCAACACTCGGGGCAAAAAATGACTGAGACACGTGACTGAAAAGCAAGGCAAGGAAACAGAACGTCCCTTCGCTCCTCCTTGGCTGGTGGTAGTTTTGTATCGGATCAGGTTGAAAGGATTCAAGCCACTTTAAAACAATCAACAAAAATCTCCAACTCCCCTTCCTGAATTAGCAAAGCGGATTCTCTTGCCCGCCCGGATGATTCTAGAAGTTGTGTATGTTTGTCACTGGACCTGCCTAGGACGCACCTTGGGGTGGGGGAGTGGGCATTGGGACGGTGGTCTCGAGCTCTGTGTGCCCCTCCTTTTCACAAGGTAGTCGGAGTACAAGAACAGAGACGAGCTGTGGACATAGGGGAGGTAGCCCAGCCTGATTTCAAGCGTCGCTGGTACAAGCCACCCTCTCTAAGGCGCATTTCCTAACTTCCTAGAGAAGTAACAACAGCAGCTAATTTTTGGTGACTGGTGACTATGGACAGCGCTCCGTTGTTGCTGCTTTACGTGCGTTCATTCATTTAATTTGCAAAACAACCAGACGTGAAACAGCAGGAAGGAAATTCTACAACCTCCCCTTCTCGCTCAAGTTAAGACCCAAAAGTCTCCTCTTCGGGCGCATTTCAGTAAGACTCAAATCCTCCCCACTCTGAGAGGCGCAGAAAGCCAAACTTCCTCCAAAACAAAGCTTCAGTCCAGGCTGAGGGATCTGGCTCCCGGGAGGTGCGTGGGCTCTCTGGGCTCCTGGCAGATGCCGGCCGCTTTCCCGGGCCCGCACTCGGGGACCTCGTCCGCCTGGCATCACGATTGTGCAAGCGCCGGGCGGCAACCACGGCAGCCACTGCTGGCTCCTGCCTGCAGGGGGAGGGCAGGGAGGCACGTTTTGCTTACACCCGATGAACTCCGGGCTTCGAGTACCTTCCTGGGGCTTATCTCCGGGGTAGAGTCTGCGGCCACCACCTCACCCCACCTCCCGCTCCCAGCAGCGAGCGCCCCGGTGACCCGAGGCCCGGATGCCCTCGTTCACCTCACTGACTCCATCCTTCCACCCCCTCCCCTGGGTCCCGCGTTCCTCGGAGCCTGGCCAGCCGGGGGCCACTCCGCCCTCCTCTGTGTGCTCATTGGCCACCCAGGGCATGCCCTGTCTCCATAAATGCAAGGTCCCTGGGCACGAGAACGTGGAGAGGGACCGGAGGGAACGCGGCGCCAGCAGCATCTCACCTACCCTCCTTGACATCTCCTCCCCGTGGTTCCAGCCAGACCCTAGAAGTCAGACTTGCAGACCAACAGGAGGACTTCCAGCTTTTCCTTTCCAAGAGGTCCCCAGTCCCCGGCTGCCCTCTTCCAGCCCCTACGGCCAGCTCAAGGAGGCACCAACGCTCTGAGGCTGCCGCACGGTGCAGCGTCGAGCATCCCTGCCGAGGTCCTTTCTGCCCTCTGTCCCGCCTCACCCCGCTCCATCACACCAGCCGGCCCTCTTTGCCTCCCCTTCCCAGAATCGTTATGCGCTCGGATCCCACCAGTGCCTGGTACCAACCTCGCCCCACCCCGTCTCCGTACCTTCCCACGCCCCGGTGTCCCCCGCTGCCATGAGCTCCCCCATTAGCAAGAGCCGCTCGCTCGCCTCCTTCCTGCAGCAGCAGCGAAGTCCGAGGCAGCCCCCGAGACCCGTGACCTCTGCGGTGTGCACACCCCCTCAGCCACGAGAGGTGCCGGTCTGCCCGCTGGCAGCTGGTGGCGAGACTCAGAACGCGGCCGCCTTGCCGGGCCCCACCAACTGGCCACTGCTGGGCAGTCTGCTGCAGATTCTCTGGAAAGGGGGACTCAAGAAACAGCACAACACCCTGGTAAATACCTTTTCGCGCCCCTGATTGCCTTTCTCCTCCCTGTTCTGCCCTCCCAGTGGCGCTCCAAACCTTCCCTGGGGTGCGCAACTCTGGCGCACCGTGCGCTTTGGCGTTTGGGCAGCGACGGTCCCCCATCCCCGGTCCCCGAGGAGGAAGGAGGCTGGAGGAGGGAGAAGCGCTTCGGGGACCGCAGGGGATGCGCGCTGACTCCGCGCTGTGCCTGGCCCGCTGCAGGCGGAGTACCACAAGAAGTATGGCAAGATTTTCCGCATGAAGCTGGGTTCCTTTGAGTCGGTGCACCTGGGCTCGCCGTGCCTGCTGGAAGCGCTGTACCGCACCGAGAGCGCGCACCCGCAGCGGCTGGAGATCAAACCATGGAAGGCCTATCGCGACTACCGCAAAGAAGGCTACGGGCTGCTGATCCTGTGAGTCCAAACCGAGGGACCTGGGCATGCGGCCGCGCCTGATGAACCTGATAGCTCCTGGAAATTGTGAAGAGGCGGGAGTTAGAGTTCCCTGGGGTTGGATTCTTCTTAGGCAGGGCGGATACCAAAGCCCCGCTCCGGCGCGACTGCAACCCTGAGCTCTTGTGTAGATTAGAGTCGGTCCATTAAAAAGCCGTGCTGTGCACCAGACACCTGCGTTCTCTCTGGCAAGAGGGCAGGACCACACCCTTCCATCAAAGAAACGCCAAAACAGGGTTGTACAAACTGTGGTGTTCAGATCCCTGGGCAGGATGAGGTTGTGAAGTTAGCTTACCAGGCAAACATCTTATACAAACAATATTCGCCCTTAAAACTCCCTGAAATGCCTTGAAAGCTCAAAAACCAGAAGTTAACCTCTTTTGCTTTTTACAATGACCTTTTCTGCAAAGGATTCGGGGGTCATGCCTTATTTCTACTTGAAAAAATTTGAATCAGGAGGGATGTCAAAGCTAAGTAGATAAATGCTACAGTGGGATGCGATTCTTCTGCTTTTTAGTTGTTAGCATTTAACAGATTGGCACCTTTATTTACCCCCCCATCATAATGCCTAATAGTTATATTTTCCAGGATATAATTACTGGAATTAAAAACCATATTAATGCACGGTGCATCACTCTGTGTGGTATGCTACGGGGCAGGTGCATACAACCACATGATTGCAAGAGGCTTTTTACTACTCCAGAGAATCTCTGGCTGTATATTATTATTTGGAGGTGATGGTAAAATTCTTATTCTGAGGTAATTTGTAAATATGAACCCCACACCAATGAGTTGAAAGAAGACAAGATTCTTTACTCAAACAGATCAGAGTTGCTGGTGATGGGGTATTCACAAGACCCCTTTCACCGCTAGGAATTAGCCTCTGGCCTCCCAGCTTCCACTCCCTGCAAAGACACCTCAAAATCCCTGAACCCAGATTATCTGGACTTCAACTTTCTGGTGCAATCTTTGACTAGGAGGAAAGATGCCTTTTCATCCTATTGTCAAACGATTGTCAAAATATGATCACTATTTTATCCCAAATATTCTAATGTTCATATTCTCTGGATATTTCTCAGCATGATTCTCAGTGTTTATTTGATTGTATGGTTCCTGAAGTTGCAGCTGGAGGTATTTCTGCATCTCCCTTCTTTTCTATTCAATGTGCTCTAAATGTATTTCTGCTTCTCTCACAGGGAGGGTGAAGACTGGCAGCGGGTCCGGAGCGCCTTTCAAAAGAAACTAATGAAACCAGTGGAAGTGATGAAGCTGGACAACAAAATCAATGAGGTTTGCAGGCTGGGGCCAGCTTTCCTGGGGCTCCTGGGGACAGAGGGATATTAACAGAGTTTCAAGTCATAGCCACAAAGTACAGAGAAAAAGAACGCAATTTGGATGATTTAAGGGTGTCTTCTCTTTCTCTCCATTCTTTCCTACAACCTCCTCCCACCAATATTTCTCCCTCCTTCACTCTGTTTTTTTTTTTCTTTTGAGATGGTGTCTCACTCTGTTGCCCAGGCTGGAGTGCAGTGGTACAGCTTCGGCTCACTGCAACCTCTGCCTCCCAGGTTGAAGCAATTCTCCTGCCTCAGCCTCCTGAGTAGTTGGGACTACAGGTAGCCACCACTACACCCAGCTAATTTTTGTATTGTTAGTAGAGATGGGGTTCCACCATGTTGGTCAGGCTGGTCTAAAACTCCTGACCTCATGATCTGCCTGCCTCTGCCTCCCAAAGTGCTGGGATTACTAGCGTGAGCCACCGTGTCAGCCCTTCAGCCTTTTTTAAAGTCATATCACAATGAGGGAGAAATGAGGAACATAGACTTTGGTATTCTACAGCCTTGGATTTCAGCCTCAGCCTTCCACTCCCTGGCTATGAGAACTGGTAATATCACTCAACTTCCCTAAGCCTCAGTTTCCTCATCTACATAATGGGAATAACAGTTCCCACCCCATGGGTTTGCTGTAAAAATTAAATGAGATAACCTTGTAAAGTTCTTAAGTTGTGATACTTGAGCTGGGTTTTGCAGGAAGAGTAGGAATCTGAAAGCAAAGAAGGTGGAGGAAGGCATGAAGGCAAAGAGAACAGCCTTCTGAAAATAGGGAGGCATGAAATGACATGGTGTGCTCAGAGAATCCGTCATTTAGTATAGCTGATGTAAGGCTTTCTCTGAAATGATACTGGACAGATCTTAACAATATTTTTGAATTATACTAAAGCATTTGGACATTATCCCTTAGCCAACATGGAATCAACGGGGGGTTTAAGCATATAGTAGTCTCTTTTTACTTCCGTTAACTTTGGATGTTTATTTTGAACGGGATGTGGCCCCAGATGGGATCCTATAGCTGAAGGATTTCAAACTCAGAAGCTTCCAGGGGCCACATGACTAATATAAAATAATAAAGCAGATCCAGTGAAAATTTTAGGAAACATGACAGTGCATGCCCCTCCTAGAAGGGACAGCAGCCCCAGTTCCAGCAAAGGGTGGCCACGTAGGAATGCAGACCTCGCATCGCCAAGTTCCGTAATTGTTATTTACATTTTAAACTAGTGGTGGCAAATTCATACATTCATATGAAACCTCTTGTTTTTTTAATGATAACAAATTCAAAGTACTTTTAAATGCACTACGTGGGCAAACTAAACATGCAAACTAAGTCCACATGTGTGGACGTTATGATCAGACCAGCTCTTGGTAGGGTCCAGGATGGCAACTTATCAGCTCTTTGTCCACAAGTGAGCGGCTTCGCCTCTTTAAGCCTCAGCTTTCTCATCTATTACATGGGAAATGAGTAATGACAGTACCTACTACCTCATGGCGTTGCTGGGAGGATCAGTCAATACACTTTGCACAGTGCCGGGTACCACATGGAACTCATTAAATGTGAGGCATTAGTAATTGAAAACTGGTTTATGAAACTGGCATCCAAAAGTCTTATGTGACTGTCCCAAGGTCATAGACTACTCAGGGAAGGAGCTGCATCCAGAATTGGTAGATCTTCTGGCTCCAAATTCAACATGCTTAACTTAACCACCAATCAATAAAGAGACATTTGCTTGTGCAGATGTGGAAGGGCGCACCTCAGGATAGCTGCCTATTCACAGTCCTTGAGATGCTGGGCTAACAGGGACACTTGGCTGATGCCTTTGTGGTTTATTTCCCCCATTCTGTTTAGGAAAAAAAAATGTTTTTCTTTTCTTAAATTGCTAGAATTATTTTTAGATCACAAGCTGAAATGTAAGCTTCGGGGTGGCTTCAGGAAAAGCTCAGGAAATAACCCAGGACAAGGTCCTTAGGGAATAAGGTGGGTTCCCAGGGAGAGTATATAATTAGCGTGACTTCAGGTGGAATAACATGATGGCCTGTGAATATACGACGTAGCAAGGCCTGAAGTTAGCTCAATGAGCTTTGAACCTTTGTTTTCCTTCAACATCTTTAAAATGTGTCTTTTGTGGTTTTCTTTGAAGGTCTTGGCTGATTTTATGGGCAGAATAGATGAGCTCTGTGATGAAAACGGCCGCATTGAAGACTTGTACAGTGAACTGAACAAATGGTCACTTGAAAGTGAGTTGCCACTACAGTCTTGCTCACTGATTTTGCAGGTGATTTTGAGGGTGAAACATGGCTCTGTTGGCAACCCTTCTGTAATCGTGCATTATTGCTGCCTAGGGAAAGGCCATAGCAGCCCTTTTCATGCTTCTTTTATGTGCTTAAGTTATGCCTTGAACTATGGATTGTTTATGAAGTCATACAACAAACATTTGTTGAACACTGGCTGTGTGTCTGGCACTGTGCTAGGTTCTAGGGATATGACAATGAACAAAACAGATAGCCTCCCTGCCCTTGGGGAGCTTATATGCTAGACAAGGTGATAGTCAACAAGTAAACACATTTTAAAACAGATCCTTCCAAGGAGTAAAGGAAAAAAGAAAGGGAGTTAAGAGGCATGAAAGCCAGGTACGGTGGCTCATGCCTGTAATCCCAGGACTTTGGGAGGATGAGGTGGGCAGATCACTTGAGGCCAGCCCAGGAATCTGAGCCCAGCTTGAGCAACACAGCAAAACCTTGTCTCTACAAAAAATACAAAAATTAGTCAGGTGTGGTGGCACATGCCTGTAGTCCCAGCTACTCGGAAGTCTGGGGTGGGAGGATTGCTTGACCCTGGGAAGTCGAAGCAGAAGTGAAGGCGTGATTATGCCACTGCATTCCAGTCTGGGTGATGGACTGAGACGCCAGAGAGAGAAAGAGAAGGGAGGGAGGGAGGGGAGAAAAGAGAGAGAAAAAGGTGGGAGGAAGGGAAGGAGGAAGGGAGGGAGGGAGGAAGGAGACAGACAGGAAGAAAGAGAAAGAGAGAGAGAGAGGAAGGAAGTGGGGGAGAGAGAGAGAGAAAGAAAGAAAGAAAGAGAAAGAAAGAAAGAAAGAAAGAGAAAAAGAAGAAAGAAAGAGCATGAAAGAGGTGCAAATCCTTTTTAGTTAAGGAGACATTTGAGGTAAGTCCTAAAGGAAGGGAAGAGCAAATCACGAGGGTTCCTGTAGAAGACTCTTCCAGGCATTCCAGGCAGCAGAGACAGCAAGTACAGATGCTGGGAGGTGGAAGCATGAGCACAGTGTCTGAGGAACTGCAAGGTGCTGGTGTGAGTGGATCACAATGAACAAGCTGGGACGAAGGGGAGGCTGTGAAGGAAGATGAGGTCAGAAAGAAGGCAGGCACGTATCTGATAGGTCCCGGCAAGACTTTGCCCCTAGTCTGATTCAGATAGGGCAAGCAAGGGAGGGAGGGCATGACCGCTATCTTCAAGGATCACTCTGGAGGAGCTCACTGCCCATGGGGTGCAGGCAGGAGGGCAGTCAACTGTGATGAGGCAGGAGAGTGCCTGGCTGAGGACATTCAGGGAGAATGGGAGAGGGCTGCCTAAGCCAGACATGGGCAGGGGTGGCTTCGTGGAGATGGGGCCTCTCAGCTCAGACCTGATGGTAAAGTAGGAGCTCACCAGGTGAAAAGGGAGGAAGGAGAGTGTCTCTGCAGAAGAAGTTCAGAATGAATGAAGCATATCCTGTAAGAGAGGGGTGTGGGAGGGGACAGAGGCTGGGAGAGGGCCGGCAGCCAGCTCATGGAGGGCTGCATGGGTGGGAGTTTGCATTTGAGCCTGGAAGTAATGGGAACTGTGGGGAGTGTTTTTCGCAGCAGTATGATATGGGCAGATTTGCTGGGAGGATCATTGCGGCTACTGATGGGAGGGATAGAAGGAAAACCTATAACACTTCCATAAATTCAAGGTCAGAATCACTGCCATAAATAGATTAATATAAAAATAAGTAACTTTCTTTTTATTAATTATTTGAGACAGAGTCTCACTCTGCCCCCAGGCTGGAGTGCAGTGACGTGATCTCTGCTCACTGTAACCACCTCCTGGGTTCAAGCGATTCTCCTGCCTCAGCCTCCAGAGTAGCTGGGACTACAGGCACGTGTTACCATGCCTGACTAATGTTTTATTTTACTTTATTTTTTGTAGAGACAGGGTTCTGTCATGTTGCCCAGGCTGTTCTCAAACTCCTGGGCTCAAGCAATCTGCCTGCCCCAGCTTCCTAATGAGCTAAGATTACAGGTGTGACCCACCATCCTCCACCCTGCGTCCTTTTTTTAAAAAAGTTTACAGGAGATAATTTTTAGGACAATGGGGAACATTTTAAAATGGGACACAGATTTTTTATGAAATGACCGCTAATGTTCTTAGGGATGTTAATGATACTGTGTTTATGTAGGAGAATGCTTTATTCTTGGGACATTATTGCTAAAGTATCTAATGGTGAAGTGTCCTGAGAGCTCAAAATTATTTCCAAATGGTTCAGCACACACAGTCACATACACACTTTTATGCATACATACACACAAAGAGAAAGAAACGGCCACAAAATGTTAATCAGTTCAGAGGATACAGGTTTTCATGTTACCACTCCTTCGAGTTTTCTATAGGTACAAAGTTTTGAAATGAAGAGTTGAGAATTTTACTTTTAAAAGGTTTCTTCTAAATAAAAAGGTGAAATGGAAGAAAAAACCCTATATGAAGTGCTAGCCCAGTCCCTGGCATGTAATAGGTGTTTGGAACATAATTATTTCCCTCGCTTCTCTTCCTCTGGTGAATGGCTTCCAAACAATTATGTCTGGCAATAGAATCCAATACGTGACTCTAAAAACCCAGCTAAGTTAGAGGCATGGCACAGACCTGACCCAGCAGCACCTCTGCTGGGGCCCCTGGATCTCCTGTGTGACTGATGTGACTCAGCACAGTGGATCTCTGAGCAGGACGTTCTAAGGTGATGAGTCATTGGACCTGGAGATCATTTCCAGAAAAAGAGGAGAGTGATTGTGCCCCCTTTCTCTCAGACTCTTTGCTTTTTCTTGATATTCTTAGACTATTGCCTTGTCTCAGAAAATCCCGCACTTTTAAGAGGCACAGAACTGTCTTTAATAGCCAGCTAAACACAGACTCGAGCATTGCTGTGATTGTGTAAAGTCATGATTATCTTAAACAACAGGTATCTGCCTCGTGTTGTATGAGAAGAGATTTGGGCTTCTCCAGAAGAATACGGGGGCTGAAGCTGTGAACTTCATCATGGCCATCAAAACAGTAAGCAGCCTCTTTAGGAGAGCAGCTTTCTTGACTGATGTTTTACAGATTTATTTTTACAGAACTTCAGTGTTTCCCAAAAAATGGCATACACGCATATTTTATTTCAATAATTAAGTGTTCATTTTATGTGCATTATCTGTGTTAGTGTATTTATGTGCATATATGCAGCTGTCTCCAACTTTTCTGGTACCAGGGACCAGTCTTATGGAAGATAATTTTTTTATGGATGGGGCAGGGTGGTGAGGGAGGGGCAGGGAGGGAGGATAATTCAAGCAAATTACATTTACTGTTCACTTTATTTCCATTATTATTACGTACTCACCATATTGTAGATCAGTGGAAGCCCTGAGCTTGTTTTCTTGCAGTGAGAAGGTCCCACCTGGGGGTGAGGGGAGACAGTGACAGATCTTTAGGCATTAGATTCTCATAAGGAGAATCTACCTAGATTCCCTACCTAGATCCCTTGCACCGGCAGTTCACAACAGGGTTTGCACTCCTGCAACAATCTAAAGCAGCCATTGAGCTGGCAGGAGGCAGAGCTCAGGTGGTAACCCTTGCTGGCCCGCTGATCACCTCCTGCTGCGAGGCCCAATTCCTAGCAGGCCACGGGCCAGTACCGGTTCATGGCCTAGGGGTTGGAAAGCCCTCCATATACGCACGTAGCATAAAGAAGCACATTAAATCCATTAGTTCTTTGTTTAGGCATGGCTAAAATCACTATTTTAATTAAAAATCAGTTGATTAAAAATACTTTTTTAAAAGAGCCCAATATTTTTCCAGATTTTACCTTTTTAAATAGTTTGGGTGATGTGTAGATAGGATAAATGCTGTGAAATTGGTTTGGAAATCACTAAGGTTTGGAAATAATTAGAAATTGAAATGAATATGAAAGTTATAGTTTTCTCTCTTTTCTTTTTTTTACAATTAGGTCATAAGATTACAATTTTAATCAAACACAGCCAGTGGGAAATCATCCCCCATATTACTTTCCATATTGAAAGGAGGTGGTGGTGGGGTATGGGCATTGCTCCTGGAACCAGTGCAGGGAGAGCCGGGGGCGTCCTTGTGATTCTAGCCTTTCAAAAAGTGCAGGGTGCTGTGGTTTAGAATGCCTCTCTTCCAGAATGTAGGTTGTGTTTGGGAGAAGGAGAATGCAGAATAAAAAAGGGTTTGCATTTCTGTCAGATGATGAGCACGTTTGGGAGAATGATGGTCACTCCAGTCGAGCTGCACAAGAGCCTCAACACCAAGGTCTGGCAGGACCACACACTGGCCTGGGACACCATTTTCAAATCAGGTAAAGGGCCACCCTTCACATCCAGCCAGAAGCAGCCCAGCACCCCTGTGTCTGCAGCTACAGAGAGAAGGTCTGGAGTGGTCTCCTAGACCTCATCACCACGTTTAGGTTTTGCAAACCCATGTGTTTTGGGGATTGCCTTTGCACACACAAATTCTAAGTAGCAAGCTTTCTGTAGTCTTCTTTGGGAATTCGAGTGGTTAAAAGTAAAATCTGGCCAGACGCAGTGGCTCACTGCTGTCATCTCAACACTTTGGGAAGCCAATATGAGTGGATCACCTGAGACCAGGAGTTTGAGATCAGCCTGGCCAACTTGGTGAAACCCAGTCTCTACTAATAACACAAAAATTAGCTGGGCATGGTGGCAGGCGCCTGTAATCCTAGCTACTCAGGAGGCTGAGACAGGAGAATTGCTTGAACCTGGGAGGCGGAGGTTGCAGTGAGCCAAGACTGTGACACTGCACTCCAACTTGGGAGCCAGAGTAAGACTCTGTCTTAAAAAAAAAAAAAAAAAAAAAAAGTAAAATCTATGGAGTCAGGGATCAGCTGGGTTCCAAGTTGCTCTCTGTCACTGGTTGTTGGGGTGGCTTGGCCAAATGTACTATCACCTTTTCATCCTCAGTTACCTTGTCTCTTAAATGGACTAATAATAATAATAAAAAGAAGAGTATCCATCTCAATGTTACTGTTTCTGGGTCTAGTATAGATTATAGATAACATAAAAACCTGGCATATCACAGTATCTCATTGGCCAGAGTTATTTCTGCTACATGATGAAGGGGAAAATTTGATGCTAGGCATTGTTCACTCATACATTTATTTAATCCTCACAACACACCTGTAAGGTGGGTTCTTTTATTAGCCTGAGAGAGGTACCTGAGACACAGAGAAGTTAGCAAATGTTCCCAAGATTGCATGCTAATTGATGGCAAAGCCAAGGTTTGAAGCCAGACAGAGGGGTTCCAGGACTCAAACTCTAACTGCTGTGCCATACCTGAACACCATTACTATTACTGAAGTATTGAAATGCTAGATTATAAAATTAACATAAGACAAAAGTATGCCAAATTGCAGGGTCTTTATCGCCGGCAACCACTGAGGACTCACATCTCTCCAACCCATGGCCCCGAAAAGAGGGTGACAAGACTCTTTTATACCTGTAAACCACCTCCAGGGGTGGGGGTGAAGGGATTCAGACATTCTGAGGGCCAGGGGATTCCGTAAATCACCTCCGGGGCAGAGAGGAGGGAGCGGGTCTCTGGACATTCCAAGGGCTAGGGGACTTATTGTCACTTGGATTGTTACCTAAGTGGTTTACAGAAGTCAAGATAAGCCTTAGTTTACACATCATCTGGCAGAGGTGGGATCCACAGATTTTAGTTACTTATTACAACTCACAGGGGCCGGGATAGAATTAGCTTGGGCTGCTTATTCTGGTCATTACTGGTAAGCAAAGGCCAGCAATTCTGGCAGTTACTGATAAGAAAAGGTAAGCAGCTTTACATAGTGAGCACTTTGCAGAGCAAACTAGCAGTTGTATTTACAGAAGCCAAGGCCAGTAGTTATTGTGAGGAGAATGGAGCAGCTGTTACAACTTATTTCTGGAAAACAGCTTTGTCTTTTATAAAATGGCATTGCTCAGCTTCCAGCTATAGCACATTACCACTTTTATTATTCTAATGAGCCTGGTGGTGGTTTGCTTCCAGGTGAGGGAAGGCAGGGTATGGTGGCGCATGCCTGTGATCCCAGCTACTTGGGAGGCTGAGGCAGGAGAATCACTTAAACCTGGGAGGCAGAGGTTGCAGTGAGCTGAGATCACACCACTGCACTCCAGCCTGGCAACAGAGCCAGACTCCATCTCAAAATAAAATAAAATAAAATAATTAGGGAGATACATGCCTAGATTTTACATTATAAAGATTAGAGATTTGTACCATTATTGTCAACATACATGGGCACTGTACTTGTATGTATGTATGTGGGGTGTGCTTAGTAATATCTGGGTCCAAGTTGGATTCTGAAAATGAATCCTAATCCTACCTTATTTTATGCTTATTGCTCCCAAGAGCTGAACTCTTACTACTCAAAAGTATGACCTGTAGCCCAGTGGCAACAGCCTCACCTAGGAGCTTGTTAGAAATGCAGAGTTCCAGGCCCACCTGAGGCCTGATTCAGGTTCCGCATTTTGGGAAGATGCCCAGGTGATTCCTATACACATTCTACAGTGTAAGAAGTCTTGCTCATGTGGGTATTGAACCATCCTTGCCGACTTAACAAGAAGCCAATAATTAGTGTGTGTAGCAAATCGTCAGTGTTCCTGAAAAAACTATTTTGATATTGTCAGAAGGATTTGGGGCTGAAGTCTTCTTTTGTGATTTTCCTCATCCTAATTTTCAACTGACTTTCTATCTTTCTTCTCTGCTCTAATAGTCAAATCTTGTATTGACAACCGATTGGACAAGTATTCTCAGCAGCCTGGTGCAGATCTCCTTTGTGACATTTATCACCAGAATCAGCTTTCAAAGAAAGAATTGTATGCTGCTGTCACAGAGCTCCAGCTGGCTGCGGTGGAAACGGTAAGGGTGGGCTGGATTTGAGTTTGCTAAATGAACAGTCTGTACAATTTTTAGATGATAAATCTTAAATAGTACTCATCTCATTCATTTCACCGGGATTCACTGAGCACCAATTTCACAGAAACGAAAACGTTCATACTAGATGCTGCTGTGCCTCAATGCACAGCCTTTTGTCCTTAAACATAGTGTAGGAGGAGACTTCACATGCCCCAGTGACAAAAATCCAGAGTAAGACGTAATCAGTGCCGTGATGTACACGCAAACTGCTTTGGGAATTCAGGAGCAGCAAAGTTCCATGCCCTGGCAAGATACAGAATCCAGGTTTTTCAAAATTTGATGTATTTTGTTCAGTTACACACATTATCCCAAAGTGTGTAACTGTGGCTATTACTGTAAAAAGAAAATGGCATACTCTCTTTCAAGCCAATAAAATTTCTATCTGCTTAGAATTGTAAAGAAAGTCTCAGACAAAGACTCTGGGACAAGTAGGTTTTAACTGAAGTGAAACAGCTCACTTTAAAGACCAAAATTCTGTCTCTGATATGGCCAGTACTCCCTAGGAGATAGTAGATAGTGGATACTAAGTGCAGATAAACCCCAGACAAATCCTTCCATAGGAATTCAGGTAGGTTTAATTGACTTGGATGCTACTTCAAGCTATGATGGGATAGATGCCTGTGAATACTCCTCCTAAGTCAAGATTTCATGCACCTTAAAGCCTCTAAGCAAAATGTAAAGCAGTCATTTATTTTCCATGTGTCTCCCCTTCTGTGCTGTTTCTCGCCTGAAGAAAAAGTAGGGTTTTCTCTATCAGGACATAGCGAGTTTCTCATTTCTCCTCATGCTCCAGAAGGTGGTTGAAAGTAGAAATTCATCCTCCCTCACTTTCCTATTGAATTATTTACGCTGGGAGGTTCCTTACAGTCTCAAAAGTAAAGTGTACCCATCATTCTTTCATTTTTTCAGCTGGCATTGACCTCTCTGAGGGCTGAGGGCAAGGTTTAGGGTTGTCCACTGCTGTGTTTCCAGGACATAGAACAGTAGTTGGCTAATAGATGCTTGTTGAATAAATGAAGGAGTTCAGGAGCTTGAGTGCCTACTGTATGCCTGGGACTGTTCCAGGTTCTTGAGAGACCACCATGAATCAAAGACAAGGGTTTCCACTCTCACGGAACTTGTATGCAGGTGGGGCAGACAGACAGTAGACATGTGAACAAACAAATTGGTCACTTTAGACAGTGCTATGGATTGTGTAGGACACCATCAGGGTGGCATAATAGAAAGACGTGGAGATGATTGGAGGAGACCCCTCTCTGAGAAAGTAGTATGTACTGGAGCGGACTCTGGAATATTGAGAAGGAGCCAGCCATGGGAAGTCCTGGTGGGGGAGTACTGCAGGTAGAGGAAACGACCCACGCAAAGGCCCTGCGGCAGAAAGAGGGATGGAGCTAGAGAACAGGCAAATGTGGTGAGAGCTGAGACTGAAGAAGTAGATGGGCCCTGTTAGCAAGGGCCTTGTGAGCCTGGGTAAGGCATTAGGATTTGACTGCACCTGTGATGGGAAGCTCTTGCAGGGTTTTAAGCAAGGAAATCACCTAATCATTTATGTTTTTAAAAGTGGGCTCTGGCTGGTGGGTAAAGAATGGACTTAGCAGAGAAAGTAGATACAGCAGACCAGTTTGTGAGCTCGGTCTGTTCCACAGAGGTCAATCCAGGATAGTGTGTGCCCCTGAGGTTTCCCAGACCACTTCCCCTGGAATCAGCTGCTGCAGCTCAGCCCCTGCAGTTTTCCTTACAGGCTCGGACTGTCTTATGCTTTTTGGTAAAAGCAACAGTTATCTGCCTTTTGGAAACTCTGGTACTTGCGGTGAGGGACTCACTGATATGGTTAAATCCGTTTCTTTTTTAGTCCTGGCTATTCTGAAAGTCACATTTGGAAAATCAGACCCATTTGAAAGGGTATCTAATTTGATGGCTACACCCTCTTCCTGTTTTGTAAATTAGACTCTTGTAATAATGCCGTCTACAGTTTATTTGCAGCCGAGGCTGCCGGTTCACTGACATGAAGAAGGCTGCCTGGGAGGCATCTTCTTCCAAAAATAATAAATAACCATCATCTCTGAATGGTCTTGCACTTTGCTCATCTGTGTGAGTGGCACATGGCACTTAGCAACAGCGCCTTCATGTCTGCGAGGAAGGACACAGTGATCATTTTTAGGGAATATTTGGCTTAAATTAGCAAAGAAAGGCCTAAAAAAAAAATAGATATGACTACTAGTGGTGAATATTATGTAGCCTGGAGCTACACTGGCTGTTTCCACCAATATTTTTTTCTCTAAATGCCTTTGGAGAGAAAATAAAAGATGCCACTTAAAAGGGCGAGGGCTTTTGTCAGAAACTGCAGCTGCTTCTTTGAAGTACTCAGCTCAATGCTCAAATTTCTCATTTTGGCGTTGGCACCCTCGTATGAGGGCTCTTTACATGTGGCTGAAACCCTGAGTGCAGATAGTGCCTTTTTATTTTGGTGGTAACTTTTTAGGGTATGGCCAAAAACTTTTGAATTCCAGAAATGCCATTTCTTGTCCATTTGCACGATACCATTATCTTCAGGGCTCTCATTAGCAACAGCCTGAGGATCACCATCCTGCTCTGTTTACCCTGTTTTTACATTAATGTTTATCTCAAGCAACTTTTAATTAAATTTTTATTTTAAGATCATCATAGATTCACATTCAGTTCTAAGAAAAAATAGAGAGGAATCCCTCGTATCCATTTCCCAGTTTCCCCTAATGGTAATGTCCTGCCTAACAAGAAAACATTATCATAACCCTAAAATTGTCATTTATTTAACCCACTAATATTCTCATTTCACCAGTTTTACATGTATTCATTTGGGTTCAAGCAATTATTGTGTCAAACTGTATGGTAGGCTGTGTGTGGTGGCTCATGCCTATAAACCTAGCACTTTGGGAGGCCAAGGCGGGTGGATCACCTAAAGTCAGGAGTTCAAGACCAGCCTAGTCAATATGGTGAAAACTGGTCTCTACTAAAAAATACAAAAATTAGCCAAGCATGGTGGTGGGTGCCTGTAATCCCAGCTACTCAGGATGCTGAGGCAGGAGACTCGCTTGAACCCAGGAGGCAGAGGTTGCAGTGAGCCAAGATGGCACTACTGCACTCCAGCCTGGGCGACAGAGCAAGACTCCATCTCAAAAAAACCCCAAAAAACTATATTTTAAATGTTCTAAAGCAGCTGATTAAAAGATTATACTTTTATTTCCTCAGTAAATAATTTAAAATATATCCTTAATTGATTATGTTTTATAAAATAAATCTGATTTTTCATATATTGGATTTATCTGAAGGCAAAGCAATAGGATGCATGAAAAAGCTTCACTGTTAATACATTTGCAGAACAAGGTGGTAGGCATCATCGCATCACCTTTTCTTCAGCTAATAGCGGCTTAACACAGTTATTTACAAAAACTAAAGTTTATGTCCATTCGGCTTGCAGACAGCAAACAGCCTAATGTGGATTCTCTACAATTTATCCCGTAATCCCCAAGTGCAACAAAAGCTTCTTAAAGAAATTCAAAGAGTATTACCTGAGAATCAGGTGCCACGGGCAGAAGCTCTGAGGAATATGCCATATTTAAAAGCCTGCCTGAAAGAATCTATGAGGTAAGAGCATCTCTCTGAACTACTATGAATGTGTTAGTACACTGTTGTCTTAAATACAAAACAAGGGATCCCCTACTCATGGGCAGCTTCCTCTAGCTAATTAGAAACATTTATCACACTGCAAAAAGTCTTTGGAGCTGTTTTTCCTTTCTGGCACTCATTTTCTGAATCATTTGGGCAAATTCTATTAGATCTTAAAAAGTTGGTGCCCTCCCCTTTAATTCTGTAATCCTGCTACTCTAATGAATGCTGTAAGCACTAATTAAGATTGGGGCATGATTGAAGGCTATGAGATGAAAGCTCACAAAAGAGCCATATTATTATATAATAGGACCTAGAGACAGCTTTGTTTTTGAGAATCTGATATAAAACATTTTTTAGAAAATTTTTTTAGGCCCTTTTGGGAAAATACAACTCACAACCTGTTAGGATTAGAAGGAAACTGTTAACTTTGTGAAGAGCAGAGAGGAGAAACTTTCAACAAACACCAGGCTTCAAGGGCTAGCATAGAAACATACACATTGAAGTCTGGAGTGACGGATGAAGAAAACCAGCGTTAACAGCTACTAAAAAGCCTTGCACTGGGTTTTCACTAACTCAATAAGATGAGAGGAACAAGAGATGTGAATCTTGGGAAGAAAGAGACAACTTCTTTAGGAAGAGCTGTGATCATGCTGCCTTTTTGAGTATGCACGTGGGCAGCACCTAATCCAGTCTGCATTCCCACTGACACGTCAGTGCTCACCTTTACACATTTGATTTTACCTTCTCAGGCTTACCCCGAGTGTACCATTTACAACTCGGACTCTTGACAAGGCAACAGTTCTGGGTGAATATACTTTACCCAAAGGAGTAAGTAAATTTCTATATTCTACACCTTATAAAACCTCGAAAGATACACTTTGCAAATATTCATCAGCTCCCCATAGACTTTGTACTGGAAAACATTCATTTTTGGAAACAGAGATAGTTGTGAATAGTTGACACATTGCATAGTATAGAATTACCATTAATGGCTATGGAGACAGAGACCTGGATTCAGTCTCACCTTTGTCTGGGTTATCTTGAGTGAGTTACGCAATCTCTGTGAACCTCAACTTCTTTATCTGTAAAATGGGTTTAGTAACAATCTACCACACAGGGTTGTTGTGAGTGCGATGTACAGTTTTAAAGCCCTTTACCTATTTATTGCCTGGCGCATTTTAAGCACTCAGTGCATGTTGCCAATCATCATTATAAATTTGTCGATTTGGCTTTTCATTTATAAGGTGACAACTTTTGTAAACTTTGCCATTTCAAAGGTCTCTTCTGGTTATTTTAGCTATGTGTTTCTGTATGTTTTTAGACAGTGCTGATGCTGAATACCCAGGTGTTGGGATCCAGCGAAGACAATTTTGAAGATTCCAGTCAGTTTAGACCCGAACGTTGGCTTCAGGAGAAGGAAAAAATCAATCCTTTCGCTCATCTTCCATTTGGCATTGGAAAAAGAATGTGCATTGGTCGCCGATTAGCTGAGCTTCAACTGCACCTGGCTCTTTGTTGGGTAAAACCTTTACCCGTTTCTGCAATTATGTTCTGTGCTGTTTCATAAGGCAGAAGAAGAGAGGGGTAATTCTGTTTTTATGTGCATGTGCATTACAGATTGTCCGCAAATATGACATCCTGGCCACAGACAACGAGCCTGTTGAGATGCTGCACTTAGGCACACTGGTGCCCAGCCGGGAGCTCCCCATTGCGTTCTGCCAGCGATAAGATGCCCCAGGTGAGCATCTAGGAGGTTCGTTATTCTCTGCAAGGTACTGACAATGATGAGGGATGAGCCATGCTCAGAAGTCAGCCAGACTGGGGTTTGAATCCCTGCTCACTTCTAACTTGCTGGGTGATCTTGAGAAGTTCCCTAATCTCTCTGCTTTCTTTTTTTTATTATTTGTAAAATGAGGACCCAAAGAGAGTATATCACAAAAAATTAACATGAACACCAAATACCTATTCCTAAGCCTGGCACCAATTAAGTGTTTAGTAAATACTAATAGCTGCTCATGTTTTTTGCATGTGAATAGCAAACGTTGGCAAGCTTTTTCTGTAAAGGGCCAGTTGGCCAATATTTTAGGTTTTGTGGACCATACAGTCTTTGTCACATCCTCTTATTACTACCTCGGAGCATGAAAGGGGCCACAGATAATCTGTAAGTAATGAGTGGGCTGATGTCCTAATTTTCTATTGCTGCCACAGCAAATTACTAAAACTTAGTGAGTTAAATGACACACATCTATTATCTTACAGTTCTATAGATCAGAAGTCTGACAGCGCTCCTCCAGGCTAAAATTATAATGTTGTCAGGATTCTGTCTGGAGGGTCTAGAGGAGAATATGTTCCCTTGCTAGTTTGGGTTGTTGGCAGAATTTAGTTCTTCATGGTTACAGGACTGTAGTCTTCATTTTATTGCTGCTGTCAGCTGAAGGCTATACTCAACTTTTAGAGATTTCCCATATTCCTTGGCTCATGAAAACTTCCCCATCTCAAAGCAGTAACAATGGTCAGTTGAGTCCCTCTCACGCTTTGAGTCTCTCTTTATTCTTACATTGCTTCTGTCTGATATTATCCAGGATCATGTCTCCCTTATTAAAGTTCATAACTTTAATTGCATCTGCAAAAGTCGTTTTTTCACATAAGGTAGCATATTCATGTGTTCCAGAGATTAGGGCATTGACATTTTAGGAAGACTGTTATGCTGCCTACAAAAACTGTTCTGATAAACTTTATTAAAAACAAGCGGTGGGCTGTATTTAGCACTAGGGTCTAGGTTTGTGTTATGGCAGGACATGTAATATAAATGTATATATTTATCAGCTGTATTGAATACATACTTTTTCTGCTGTATGCCATTTAATACTTTTTCTGACAATAGAGGAGTTCTTATGTTCCCTTCACGACTTTTACCATATCCATATACCAACCATTAGCTATTTATTTCAATACTACTGAGTTATTTCCTTTAAATTAACATAAGCCTAACTGTATACATTAGCCTTGTCCTGAGCAATAATTTCCTTAATGAAATTAAGAATTAGTAAGTCTAGTAATATTCTCCTTATATGCATTAAAATCAATTCAAGAAGTGATCAAAAGTTAGTCTAAGAAAGCTCCAATATCATTAATATGACATCTGTAACATATGGCTTTGTAGATTGACATGTCAGTATTTAAACCCAGATTCTATCACTTAGTTCTTTGATCGGCACCTCCTAGGATTTTCCTAGAGGAAATTGCTGTTTGCCAATGGCAAGTTAAGGAGCATTTGCTGATTGGTGGATTATTTAGAGAAACTTGCAATTACAGATGAAATTTCTGAACAAGGCCCAAATGAATATATTATTATTCCTCCACAGAGTGTCTGATGCTATTATGAAATGCGTCCAATTCTGAGCATCCCAACCCACAGAACTGAATCAAGTAGAATAAGGAAAGTATTGTCACTTAATTGTGAGACCTCCCAGTCTTCAGCAAAGACAGCATGCATGTTGATCACAGCAAGCCACACCTGTGACAAGAGCCCATGGCAATTTTAGTTTTAGCCTATTTTTTGGCTAATAATTTTTGGCTAATAATTTGTCTTGATGTATAATTAGGGTGCACCTTTTTTTTTCAGATTTTTTTTTTTTAATCAGGACCAAAGCAGCCATCTTGACATCTCTACAAGAATGGTGCTTACGGCTTCTGCATTACCAGCAAGCAAACTTCAAACACCCACAGCATACAACAGCTTACAAAGAACATTTAAGCCCAGGTGTTGATACTTTTTCTTCTGCAAAATTGTTCCAGAAGCTCTACTGTCTTTCTAGATGGTGGTATTTGCTAAGATCACATCCAACTCAGGGAAGCGGACTGAATGCTGAGATCCAAGGCATTCTACAGGGTTCACTGCTGGTTTACCCTTCACCTGCATCAGCAGCATCTTCAGGTGCTTACAATGACCTGGGAGGCTGTTCTCTCTTGCATCTTCCGTGACATGAAAGGGAGGCTAGCACCTGTCAGTCACGTAGAGGTTACTAATCGTTTCAGCCCCTGCCTACCACATTCACTGCTGGAATCTTTAATTCCCAAGAATAAGTTTACATTTGACAATAAAAGATGTACAACAGCTAAATTTTCTGGGGCTGGGAGTAACACTGACAATCCATTTACTGTAGCTCTGTTTAATGTACTACTTAGGGAAATACCTGCTTGATAGTGTAAGCCAAGCTAAATGATGGTTAAAGTTACCAGGCCTCCCATGAAATTGCGTTCTTCCTGCATTGCAATAAAAACGTTATTTGGAAATTAGAGAACACCTCTATTTTTAAAAGGACTTTAATGAAGTCAAACATCTTCTAAGACTAGTGACTTACTATGGCATTATTTTGTTAAAAGACCTTAAAATTCTTTATTTCTCTTTTTTTTTTTTTTTTTTTTGAGATGGAGTTTCACTCTTGTTACCCAGGCTGGAGTGCATGGGTCTCGGCTCACCGCAACCTCCACCTCCTGGGTTCAGGCAATTCTCCTGCCTCAGCCTCCTGAGTAGCTGGGATTATAGGCACGCGCCACCATGCCCAGCTAATTTTTTGTATTTTTAGTAGAGACGGGGTTTCACCATGTTGACCAGGATGGTCTCGATCTCTTGACCTCGTGATCCACCCACCTCGGCCTCCCAAAGTGCTGGGATTACAGGCTTGAGCCACCACGCCCAGCCAAAATTCTTTATTTCTTAATGTAATTCCTTTATGGCATTGAGGTATGGATGAAGCAATAGTTTTTAAATTGAGTTTGTGCATATGAAGCACAGACATGCCTGTGTGTGTGTGTATGTGTGTGTGTTTCTGGGTGGGTCTGTGTGTATGTGTGTTCTACTAGCAATTTGCCTCAGTCATTTTTTTAAATATTTGCAGTACTTGATTTAGAATCTGTGGTGCAGGGCAATGTTTCAAAGTTTAGTTACAGCTTAAAAATATTCAGTGGAATTTTAACATTATAAAATGAGTTCCCATGCCTTAATTTTTCTGTCTATTCAATGGGACAATTGTAAAGCATGCAAAAGCTAGAGATTTGTTATATAACATTTGTTTTGTGATTTGAACTCTTAGGAAAAATATGATTCATAAATGTAAAATGCATAAAAATGCATGCAATATTTATAACTTAAAAATTGGGTTTACAGATGGTTTATTTGTGCATATTTTTAGTACTGCTTTTCCTAAATGTATACTGTATATAATTCTGTATATTTGATAAAGATTTCCCTTCCTAGGTTATATTTTTAGACTATTTCAGAAATATACATTTATGTCTTTATATTTTAATAAATATGTACATATCTAGGTATATGCTTTCTCTCTGCTGTGAAATTTTTAGAATTATAGATTTACATGTCTTGTCAGATTTCATCTGTATACCTTCAAATTATCTAAAAGAATAAAAGTTTTTAAAATATTTGAGAGACTTCCCCTCTTTATTGCCTTTGTTACAGTAAAATAAAAACAAATTCAAACTTTGTGTTGCTAGAAAATTTTCTCATGTGGCCTACAAGCCCTATATTACAAAGTCTACCCTTAGATAAATCTAGAGTTTAATAGCAGTTTTACTGCAAGATTATTCTCAGAATTGCAAAATAACTTTCCATTTTTTTGCTGCTTAAATATTTCTCAAGTCTAGTTACTTCTATCTCTACCCCCCTTGCAACCACACTGGTTGTGGCCACTAATGTCTCTCACCTGGACCCACTACAGGAGCTCCCAGCTGATCTCAGCCTCTCCTGCTTCCTTCCCCTCTATTCTTTGCACACCTGCCTTATTGGTCTTCTCAAAACCCAAACCTGATCATGCCTCATCCTGACTCTGGGGTGTCCCATTGCTCTTACATAAAGATCTGATTCTGTAATCCGCTTATTCCAGGCCCTATCAGGTGAGGTCCCACTGATCCCCCACACTTCAGCCCATGTCATCCACCCCCAGAGGCCTCTGGACTCCAGCCACAGTGGCTTCTTCCAGTTTCTGCTGTTCCTTAAATCCTGGCAAGGGGGTTCCTCCTTCCATCTCCCTCCCAGCATGCTCTTTATCTGCCTGTTCTTCTCCTATGCACCATCTAGGTCCATCCAGCTTTCACTTCCTGAAAAAAGTCTTCCTTGATGACTTAGATGCCACAAGGGCTATCTCTGGCACCAGGTTTCATTAGGGTTGTGATTCCCGAGGAGACCTGTGCGATTGTGGGGACAGCGGGATGGGAAGGGAAAGAAGCCAACAAGCGTGTGGTTTTCAGTGAAGTTCCAGCCTCAGCCTGATCCCTGGGGAGCTCTGGAGTGTCCATTACAACTCAGTTTGTCATCCTTGTGCCCAGGGTACGGGGCTTTCACACTCCTTCAATCCAGGCTGCACCTTGGGGTGCGAACTCCCAGGTACTTCTAGACTTTACATATCCAGGCAAAATGGCTACCGTGTCCAGAAGGGAGTTTTTGAAGAAGGCTGCAGGTGCCAGCCATTAAGAGCAAAACATGCAAAACCTGAGGGGAGGGCACAAAGACTGGCAAAGGGTGTGAGCAGCACAGGGTGGAGCAAGGACCATGTCTGCTACCCCTCACCTCCCTGAGCAGGTTGCCTAGAGCTGACACTGACGTGGACACAAATGTGGCCATGATGGTAACAGTATGTATTGACTGCTCTCGCTGCCTCGGTGTCTCTGCTGACACTTGCTACATATGAATTCACAAATCCTTATCCCTGCCCTGAATCTTGTTTCTGATCTGTTCTCATTGAGTGAGGTTGTTGGAATAACTTGGGCTACATCCTATGATAATTCTCCCCATTTCACACCTGGGGAAACCAAGGCACAGAAGTGCTCAATAATCTGCTTAGAATCATAATCGGTACATAGGGAAGCCAGGTTTCCAATGAAGATAGATTGGTTCCAGGCCCTATGGGATGCATGTCATATACCGCTCCTATATAGTTCACCAAAACAGCAAGTTTATATGCATTTATGTGATTATTTGATTAACATTTCCTCCCCTTGTTCTCCCCCAGTCCCCATACATACTAGGATATAGATGGCATAAGAGCAGGGACATGTTTGTTTTGGTTTGCCCCTGTATGCATGATGCTTGGCTTATAGATCTTAACAGGCACTCATTAACTGGCTCCCCTTTACCTGGTTGTCCTAGCTGTAATCTTACAACCACCATTTATGGTAACCCATAAAGCTAGGCAAATTTCTCAGGACTCATGCCAAGTCGTAAAACCTCCTTTCCAAGGCCTTCTAGATCAGCATGTCACACAGTGCCTGTCACAGGGTAAATGCTTAGTGACTCCGGGCTATGGTGATTGTCATCAGTAACACACGCTGTTCAGTGCTCACAGTTTATTATGACATCTTTCCAGTCCCTATTCTGTCTCCCTCAAGGCTGACTCCATACTTCAGCTTCAACAAAATTTCCAGGGATATTTGTGGAAAACAAGTTTACAATCATATACATGGAATTCAGTCCCATTGGCTTTTGTGATGTTCGAATAATTTTTTGAGAGAGAGGAAGGGAAAAATAAAGAGAGAGAAAGAAAAAAAATGAAGGAGGGAATGGAGAGATCAAAGGAATTCCTCAATGCTTGTGGCAGGAATTCTACAGAGTAGGTACTGATCCCCTGGCGAGTAGGAAATTTTCATGGGGAAACTATGTAGACAGGGGATGGGGTGAGGTTGCATTATATGTACACTTTACCCAGGCATATCCAACCATCCATGCTTGGAGGGGAAAGATGACTATCGAAAAATGTATCCCAGGTGATTCCAACAACGTCACTCAATGAGAACAGCATGGTGAGAAATGAGATCCAGCTCTTGACTTATTTCTCATGCATATCTCAAAATGTGAGCTCCTGATGCCCTCGGTGTGGCTCTATGTCCTCATCTGAGGACATAAGTGAAAGTAAGTTTATTAGGAAAGTAAAGGAATGAAGAATGGCTGCTCCATAGGAACAACAGTGGCATGGGCTGCTTGACTGAGTATATAGTTACTTCTTGATTATATGCTAAATAAGGGGTGGGCTATTCATAAGTTTTCCAGGAAAGAGGTGGGCAATTCCCGGAACTGAGGGTTCCTCCTGCTTTTAGATCATACAGGGTAACTTCCTGATGTTTCCACAGCATTTGTAAACTGTCATGGCACTGATGGGCATGTCTTTTAGAATGCTAATGCAGGAAAATAATTTTACTTTTTGTTTAGAGTCTTCTTGGGACTGAGGGAGAATTACCAGGACAATTAAAAAATACAGTTTACTCCATCAACCCAGTGGTCTAATCATGGGAGACTTTATGCTAAATGCTGGAAACTACAAATCCACAGATTAAATTTGATACATTTGGTTTGGTTTGAATCTAGTTGCCAAATAGTGACTTTTCTAATTCCATCCACTTTGTGTACATTCGTTCATTCATTCATTCATGAGATGGAGTCTTGCTCAGTTGCCAAGCTGGAGTGCAGTGGTGCGATCTCAGCTCACTGCAACCTCTGCCTCCCGGGTTCAAGCGGTTCTCCTGCCTCAGCCTCCCGAGTAGTTGGGACTACAGGCGCATGCTACCACACCCCGCTAATTTTTTTGTGTTTTTAGCCGAGATGGAGTTTCACCATGTTGGCCAGGATAATCTGGATCTCTTGACCTGGTGATCCACCCACCTCAGCCTCCCAAAGTGCTGGGATTACAGGTGTGCTGTCAGGAAGAACTTATTCTTTATAATTTGTGCCAAATTAGGTCAGTACAAGCTTGCAGATTCTTATGTTTTTGAATGGGTTATAATTTTTACACTATTATTATTCATTTTGATATTCAGATTGTCCCGGATTTAGCTAATGGGAGGGAAAGAGGGAGGGAGGGAGGGAGGGAGGGAGGGAGGAAGGAAGGAAGGAAGGAAGGAAGGAAGGAAGGAAGGAAGGAAGGAAGGAAGGAAGGAAGGAAGGGCGGGCAGTGTATCAAGGTGGTTAAGAACTGAGTGCAGGCTGGGTACCATGGCTCATGCCTATAATCCCAGCACTTTGAGAAGCAAAGGTGGATGGATCATTTGAAGTCAGGAGTTCAAGACCAGCCTGGCCAACATGGTGAAACACCATCTCTACCAAAAATACAAAAAATTAGCTGGGTCTGGTGGCATGTGTTTGAAATCCCAGAGACTCAGGAGGCTGAGGCAGAAGAGTCACTGAACCCAGGAGGCGGAGGTTGCAGTGAGCCGAGATTGCTCCATTGCACTCCAGCCTGGCTATAAGAAGAGTGAAATTCGGCAAGCATGCAGGTGAAATGGGGATGATGGGGGTGGGGAGAGAGAGAGAGAGAAGGGAAGGAAGGAAGGAAAGGAAGGAAGGAGGGAGGGAGAAAAGAAAAGAAAAAAGAATAGAACTGAACTGAACTGAGGGCTGGAAGGTGATAGATTGGGTTTAAATCCCAGCTCCTCCACTGTGTGGCATTGGGAAAGTGATTCTAACCTCTCTCTGCTTAAGTTTTCTCATCTATGAAACAGAAATAATGATCAAAACATATGTCATAGAATTGTCGAGAGAATAAATGGAATAATGCACTAGAACTCTTAGAAGCTGTCTGGTAGATGGTGAATTTTCAGTGAATATCAGGTATTTAAAGATGTACTAACATTTAACAGTTGTGGAATGAGATGCACTATCTCATATTTCTGGAATCTGTGGGAAAACAGAAGTCCGGTCTGTATGGCCCCCGAATCCATAAAGCCGTCAGCTGGAGCCAGACTTTGCTGGGGCAGGTCCCCAACACTGAGTCCTGACTCAACTTCTACCCTTTATAGCACCTGCCACACCTCATTTTCAATGTCTATTTTGCACATCCTGGAAATCTATGACTTATTTTCTTCTGGTCTTAAGGGCACCTGATTGTATTTCCCCAAAAATCTGAAATGCACAAATATCTGATTAGGGCAACTAACATATTTTGAGTGTGTTCTAGAATCTTTTCCATAACTTGTCCCAATGATTTCTCCCATGGCCTTGCCAAATAGCTGGGAATCTTCTCATTTTTCAGTTAGGCTTAGAGAAGTTAAGTATCTTGCTCAGGGAAATGCAGCAAGCAGACTTGGACTAACTCCAGTCTGTCTGACTTCATACTTCTTATTTCCCTACTTTTCATGGTGCTCAAAGAACCTAAATGGGTCCACCAATGAATCTATCAGCAAGTATTGAGGAGAAGACTGTTTGTTGAAAACCAAGGTGCCATTTATGATTCAGCCTAATTTGTTGAGCTTTTCCTAATCTCCTGGATTGGACGTTGACCCAGTTAGTGATTAATATCACTTATGCTTCTCCATGATTGTTCTGTCCTGTAGAACCTCCTTTATAAGCAATAACATATTTGCAGAACTCTTAATCATTGGGATGCCTTGCACCTGGGCTTTTCAAGATGCATCAACTCCCCAGTACCAATGCTTTAGA